GTATCCACATATGATGTTCGCGGAAACTTACATGATGAGTGAGGAATAAAATAATATGTCAAATGAGGTGAACTAGCAAGCGGAAAGTAGGCGGGATTTCAAGAGGCCTACATGTGTAGATTTTATATAAGGATGTATAATTTTAAAGATGAATGTCTATATTGTTCCGTACAAGAATGTTTAAAAACACACACACACACACACACACACACACACACACACGCGCGCGCAAACGAGTATAACTATTCTCATATATAAACTATAATATTGAGTACCGTTACTTCCAATTAAAGCATAATGATGTGTACCGTTACTTATATATATATTATTTTTCAAAATGTTTGATATACTTATAATTACATAAAGTATGCTACTGTGAAACTTACTTATAGTAACATAAAGTATAAATCCGTACTGTTACTAATATTCATAAAAAAAGTACAGAAATGTAAACCAATACTTATAATTGACTACAGTATATAACTGTGAACCGACTGTGTATTACTCATAGATTGTCTGTATTATCTCCAGTGTCATAACTTGTTCACATCACGTGATGTACCTATTGTACACAGAACATGGTATTACGTCACCTAATAGACAGTTATTTGGTAAACATGTGTAACATTCCTTCTCATTTTTAAACCAAGACCTGGGTTCTAGTCTGTTCACCAGACACACGTTAGACAAAAACCCAATAACGCATAACGCACTTCTGCTAAATAGTTGTCTTCTACCGGATCGTAAGTGTAGTCCATTAAATACGTTACGCATGTTTTACACGCGGGCTTGTATAGTAGTCTCCAGTGTGTATCTATTATCGGAGTTGTCTCTGTGTTGTTTTTAACAAGATTACCGTACATATCTACCAGGTTATTATACTGTAAATAAGATGTTACAATGCATACTGTATTTATACGTACATACACCTATTAACAAGATGCACTGTATAAGAATGTATCATATGAATACCCATGTATACTGTAAATAAGCATTCATGGAGTTAATATACTGTAAGTATTTGTGAGAATATTGTTCTGCATACACGTATTTACAAAGTTGTATTCTGAAAGATATCTTGACAACATCACTGCATTCTGTAAATGAAATATTGATAGACGGATGTGTGGAACAAAATTGTTTTGAAATTTTCAAATTTTGTGTAATGTTGACGTATGTGTATACAGTGTAATGTTGACGGTGTACAGTGTAAGGTTTACGTTTGTGTCCAGTGTAAGGTTGACGGTGTACAGTGTAAGGTTAAAGTTTGTGTCCAGTGTAAGGTTGACGGTGTACAGTGTAAGGTTTACGTTTGTGTTCAATATAATGTTGAAGTATGTGTACAATATATTGTTGACGTATGTGTACAATGTAATGTTGACGTATGTGTACAATATAATGTTGACGTATGTATACATATGCAAGACCACACACTTGTGTTTTTATTACGCGGACGAATATATTCACGAGTGCGCGTAGCGCACGAGTGAATATATACGTCCGCGCAATAAATGAGTGCTTTCTGATTCGTTAGAAAAAACACAAGTGTGTGGTCTTGCTTTTATCACATACCTTCCGTATTTGGTAGAGATCGATACAAAGATTTTATAAACTTTGATATTTTTTGCAAAAACCGAGAACTTTTCAGTTCGCCAGGACAAGGGGTTTCCCATAAAAAGTAGTTCCGGTTAGTAGGCAAATACAACATTCCCTATTGCACATGTGCAATACAGAACGTTGTATTTCATGGCCTGAAAATTGCTTGTATTACTATAACAATATTCAACAGGTATGTGATAAAATGTAATGTTGACGTACGTGTACAGTGTAAGGTTGACGTTTGTGTGCAATGTAATGTTGACGTACGTGTACAGTGTAAGGTTGACGTTTGTGTGCAATGTAATGTTGACGTACGTGTACAGCGTAAGGTTGACGTTTGATGTGCAATGTAATGTTGACGTATGCGTACTGTGTAATGGTGACGTATGTGTAATGTGTAATATCGAAGGATGTGTATAGTGGAATGCTGACGTATTTGCATAATGTAGCTCGGCATATGTTTTCAGGGAAATGTTGATGAATATGTGTAGTATTATGATGGCAGTTATGTCAAATACAATACCACTATTAGATATGAATTTACCAGCTGTAAAACGCCTTTCTGTCTATCTTTTTTTAACAACCTTTGAAAATTGGTCTATTTTGCTTGTTATCTGTTGTACGTAGTTGATTGTATAAAACCTACTTAGTGATATCACAACTCTAGGACAGTATATACTTAAAGTAATTGATATACTACATGTCTGAATTTGTAAAGTGTTAAAACCCTTTTAGCAAAATGCATACTATGTATAGATACATTATTTCCTTGTTCTGTGTCTCCTGGGTGTGTATACTATGTATAAATACATAATGTCCTTGTTCTGTGTCTCCTGGGTGTGTATACTATGTATAGATACATAGTGTCCTTGCTCTGTGTCTCCTGGGTGTGTATACTGTGTATAGATACATAGTGGCCCTGTTCTGTGTCTCCTGGGTGTGTATACTATGTATAAATACATAATGTCCCTGTTCTGTGTCTCCTGGGTGTGTATACTGTGTAAAGATACATAATGTCCTTGCTCTGTATCTCCTGGGTGTGTATACTGTGTATAGATACATAGTGACCTTGTTCTGTGTCTCCTGAGTGTGTATACTATGTATAGATACATAGTGGCCTTGTTCTGTGTCTCCTGGGTGTGTATACTATGTATAGATACATAATGTCCTTGCTCTGTGTATCCTGTGTGTGTATACTGTGTATAGATACATAATGTCCCTGTTCTGTGTCTCCTGGGTGTGTATACTGTGTATAGATACATAGTGACCTTGTTCTGTGTCTCCTGGGGGTGTATACTATGTATAGATACATAATGTCCTTGCTCTGTGTATCCTTGGTGTGTATACTGTATATAGATACATAATGTCCTTGCTCTGTGTCTCCTGGGTGTGTATACTATGTAAAGATACATAGTGACCTTGCTCTGTGTGTCCTGGGTGTGTATACTATGTAAAGATACATAATGACCTTGTTCTGTGTCTCCTGGGTGTGTATACTATGTAAAGTTACATAGTGACCTTGTTCTGTGTCTCCTGGGGGTGTATACTGTGTATAGATACATAATGTCCTTGCTCTGTGTATCCTTGGTGTGTATACTGTGTATAGATACATAATGTCCCTGTTCTGTGTCTCCTGGGTGCGTATACTATGTATAGATACATAATGTCCCTGTTCCGTGTCTCCTGGGTGTGTATACTGTGTATAGATACATAGTGTCCTTGTTCTGTGTCTCCTGGGTGTGTATACTGTATATAGATACATAGTGTCCTCTGTGTATCCTTGGTGTGTATACTGTATATAGATACATACTGTCCTTGCTCTGTGTCTCCTGGGTGTGTATACTGTGTATAGATACATAGTCTCCTTGTTCTGTGTCTCCTGGGTGTGTATACTGTGTAAAGATACATAATGTCCTTGTTCTGTGTCTCCTGGGTGTGTATACTATATATAGATACATAATGTCCCTGTTCTGTGTCTCCTGGGTGTGAATACTATGTATAGATACATAATTTCCTTGTTCTTTGTCTCCTGGGTGTGTAAACTATGTATAGATACATAATGTCCTTGTTCTGTGTCTCCTGGGTGTGTATACTATGTAAAGATACGTAGTGACCTTGTTCTGTGTCTCCTGGGTGTGTCTCCTATGTATAGATACATAATGTCCCTGTTCTGTGTCTCCTGGGTGTGAATACTATGTATAGATACATAATTTCCTTGTTCTTTGTCTCCTGGGTGTGTAAACTATGTATAGATACATAATGTCCTCGTTCTGTGTCTCCTGGGTGTGTATACTATGTATAGATACATAATTTCCTTGTTCTGTGTCTCCTGGGTGTGTAAACTATGTATAGATACATAATGTCCTTGTTCTGTGTCTCCTGGGTGTGTATACTATGTATAGATACATAGTGACCTTGTTCTGTGTCTCCTGGGTGTGTATACTGTGTATAGATACATAATGTCCCTGTTCTGTGTCTCCTGGGTGTGTATACTGTGTATAGATACATAATGTCCTTGTTCTGTGTCTCCTGGGTGTGTAAACTGTGTATAGATACATAATGTCCCTGTTCTGTGTCTCCTGTGTGTGTATACTGTGTATAGATACATAATGTCCTTGTTCTGTGTCTCCTGGGTGTGTATACTGTGTATAGATATAGTGTCCCTGTTCTGTGTCTCCTGGGTGTGTATACTGTATATAGATACATAGTGTCCTTGTTCTGTGTCTTCTTGGTGTGTATACTGTATATAGATACATAATGTCCCTGTTCTGTGTCTCCTGGGTGTGTATACTGTATATAGATACATAATGTCCCTGGTCTGTGTCTCCTGGGTGTGTATACTATGTAAAGATACATAATTGCCTGGTTTTGTGTCTTCTTGGTGTGTATACTGTATATCGATACATAGTGTCCTTGTTCTGTGTATGTATAGATACATAGTGACCCTGTTCTGTGTCTCCTGGGTGTGGATACTATGTAAAGATACATAATGTCCTTGTTTTGTGTCTTCTTGGCGTGTATACTGTATATAGATACATAGTGTCCCTGTTCTGTGTCTCCTGGGTGTGTATACTATGTAAAGATACATAATGTCCTTGTTTTGTGTCTTCTTGGTGTGTATACTATGTATAGATAAATAGTGACCTTGTTCTGTGTCTCCTGGGTGTGTATACTATGTATAGATACATAATGTACTTCAAAACGAATACACTTTAAACCTACGTTGCAGGTCTCAAATAATTGTACAGTTATCTAACCCCATGCAGACGAACCTTTGAATATATTCTTCCTTTTCTTTGAAAACATTAAAAAATTGCGATATATTGTTTTTACATTTCATAATCACGTGACTTTGTTAGAAATGTGTTAATGTTAAATAAATGTTTCGTTTCTCGTTGCAGCTTTACGACAACATGGGGTCCGGAAAGGGCTATGGCGGATCTACCAGTAGGTACAGCAGCGGCCTAGGGACCAGTAGCTATCTCAGTCCGACGTACGGCTCGCAAAACAAAAGCGGGTCGTCCTACGGGTCACCAACAAAAACCTACTCATCAGGCTACCAACAACCCTCGTCATCCGGGTCTCGATACGGGTACGGCGGCGGTTCTGTCCGAGACCGGATACAGAAAATTTCGTCAGCGGAGACACCGCGCAGCACGGGCAAAGATACCGGAACCAGTATGTATACTCCATTAAGTAGTAGAGGGACCACACAGACAAGGGGAGACCAGTACGGAAGCGGAGGCGGATACGACAAATATTCATCACGGAGTGCGGGGTCTGACCCTTATGGTAGCAAATCTGGATATTTGTCAGACTATGGTGGTAGTACAAGGTCATATAGTTCTTGGGACCGAGGGTCGTCAAGATCAGGTCGCAGTTACGGAACTGCTAGCAGAGAAACATCCCCTGTGAGTCAGCGATCGTCACGATATGACTACGGTACCAAGGCTGCCACTCCGTCTCCGTACAGCACTTACAAAAGTAGTTCAGAGGTGTCGCCACCAGTAAACCGAAAGTACGACCGCCAGGCGTCACGATCATCGGACGTAGAATATTCTGCTAGGGACAGGGGTGACAGGTATGAAAAGAGGCGGTCATCACGTGACTTTATCCGCCCGCCTCCTCGGAAGAAAGTTTCCGTGTCCTCCGACAGTGATGAGGACGACAGTGCTCCCGAGGCGGAGAAAGATGGCTTCAAGGGTCGGTACCTCATATCGAGGGGAACTTCACCGATGCCTGAAAACGAAGCCCCAAAACGAGATTTACGATATAGAAAGGACAAAAAGTCAGTTTCGCGGACCAAACGTATTAGGCCACTGAGCAACAGAGACTCCCGGCGTGAGAGTCGATATCGGGACTACCGCAATCCTACTCTCGTTGATTGCTCTACTCAAACACACATGGACCAACCCACCTCTCGCCGAAGTCGGCACTCGTCTGGCAGCTACGGCGGCGAAGTGAGCGGTGACCTGAGGGACAAGGCGGCGATGGCTGCCTTGGCCTTGATAGACAGTGGAGGTGGGGATGGCAAAGACGATTCGTTCTACAAGTATCGAGATAAGTTTGACAAAAACAAACAACCAATGTCACCAGGTTATAACGCGACGGATAGTCCGAGGAGTAAACGATTTTCGTATCGCGATACATCAGCAAAAGACGAATCATTAGGGGAGATTCCTCCCGAAAAATCATGGCGTCAGTCCGTGTACGGTACCTCAACGCCAATGAAGAAATCCGAGGAGGAAGAAGTACCAAGACGACGACGCCGGCAGCTTTCTAATGTAGAGCCTGACTATGAAAATGTCGAAGAGGATTCGAGGCCAAGCTCACGTCGGGGTGAAAGACGCTCCCAGGGATCGGACAGGGACCGGCGCTCACAGCGTGAGATGGCTCAGGATTACAGTCGCTCCAACTCCCGGGACAGTCTTCTTGACGACAAACCCGCGCGGAGGCGGAGGCATGGTAGTAAGGAGCTTCTGGATGCACCTCCTGAACCGGAAGTTATTGTCCATACTCCGGAAGAGGTTCCGGTACAGCGACGAAGGCGGCACGGAAGTAAAGAACTACTGGATGATCCTGCTGAGTCACTGACTCCAGAGACCATTTCGTTAAGAGACAGTATTGAGAAAGTTCAGCAATGGAAACAAAACCTACCGAATCCAGACCCGTACTATGAGGACCATCCTCCTCCACAGCCTCAACCGCCGACTAGGCATCTCGAGACTGGCTTCCCAAGGAGTGATTCAGGCGAGTATTTTTCTGCTCACGACTACCCTGTGAATCCAAATTCTAGACCAAATGACGGTAAGGTCATGTCTCCTGACAGAGGCAGGGGAAGAGACTCTCGTGGGTCGGGAAATTATGGTCGTGAGCAGGAGCATGCTCCATACCGTGATGACTCCCCGGGGAGACAAAGGAGGCAATATCGACGCGATGACTCGCACGATAATGTGTTTTCTGGTGACGATGAGTTAGATGGACATTATCGCAAAAAGGAACATCGCAAGTCAGACCTGAACAGGGCCGATGGTGAACACTACGCAATCACCCGTGACGAGTCTCCCAACAGGTTGCGTCGCTCACACAGACCACCCTCTGGCGATGGTGTACGGCGTTTGACGCGAGAAGGATCAAGGGAAGACAATCTAGATGATAGAAAGACAAGGAGGGATGACCATGATCGTGGACACACAAGCGATAGCTCTCAGTTTGGATTTAATCGGGAAAGTTCGCCAAATCGGTCACATCCACAGAAGAAGCCCGGGAGTAGACCAAACTCTCGGGAAAGCATACTAGACGAAGGTCGTGTTCGACGAAGCACCTCCCGTGAGGGCATGCTGGATGAAGGTAAAGTGCGACGGAGCAATTCACGTGAGGGTATGTTGGATGAAGGTAAAGTGCGGCGAAGCAATTCACGTGAGGGCATGCTGGATGAATGTAAAGTGCGGCGAAGCAATTCACGTGAGGGCATGTTGGACGAAGGGAAAGTAAGACGCAGCAACTCAAGAGAAGGAATGTTGGATAACGGTAAGCTTAGACGAAGTAATTCGCGAGAAGGCGTCTTGGAGGAGAAGCTGGTGGAGTACCCCCCTGCATACAGTCGGCCGGGACAGCTCGCCATCTCCAACGAGAGCCTGGCACACATGAGCAACTCGGCATCCGCTGGATCAATCAACTCGATTGTTCCAGACGACGGGACGCTTCATGCAACAAAGTCACCTAACTCGATTACATCAAATGAAGGACTTCACTCACCCGTGTCTCAGTCTCGTCTTCACGCCCCGTCGCCGGGGGCCAACAAAGGACTTCCAGACCTGGTACCCGGAGGACCCAAGGCAGGGCCGGAAGGTAAGGATCAAAAGCGTCAGTTACAACGATACGTCCGCCGTACTAAGAGTGGATATATTGGCAAAGTACAAGATATTGACAGGTATCTTGGACCCGCTAATAAGGACGAATCTGAAAGCGGGGGTTCGGCTAAAAAGACTTCCGGCACCGATAAATCTGACAGGCCCCCAAACCTGATGGACACTCCTGTTCCCAAACATCCTGACCCTCTCAAGCCATCTCCCAATGTCCCAGGTAAATACTTGCCTGTGCTTTGTGCAAAAGTTATGACGTCATATATAGATTTGTGGTTGGTTAAATGCTGGTTTTGTGGTCAAGCCATTTTGGTGGCAGAGTTTTGTATCGTTTAACCGAGATAATAATATCTGTTGTTATTGCAGCTTGTTTGGTATGGATAGCATTGCTACTTTTTCATCTAATATTTTTTTTCTTCTAAATATTGTTGCTTATGAAATAGTATTTGCAACTGATGACGTCATGACTGGATTGTGCTGCTTCCGCTTTTACTTGTGCTAACACTGAATTTCTACTTACCCTGTTGTTTCCACGGTAACGCTTCCCTGCCGTCCCGGGGTGGGAGAGATTTCATAACATGGTGTCCAATTTCGGTTAGGGTTGTATTTCATTGTATTGGGGTTAATCAATAAGTTATCAATACTTAATACTTCTTAAAGGCATGACTCATACTAACTTACTTCACATTTAGGACAGGTAAACAAATTCCGCCACGTAGGCTATGAACTGTTCATTTTGTTCAGATTCCGAAGTTTAAAACACTTATTTTTCATAGATTTGAAAATGTCTCCGGTTAAACTCACCTTCTGTCATATTTTGGTTGAAAATGTTTTTAACTCGTGATGCACGCACAGGTTATTCGCATTAATTAAGACATGTTCTATTTTTCATATGTTTTCTTTTTTTTAGATATATTTAAAAGAAAAATACGTATCAAACATTTATATGATTTCCCATACGAGGTCGCTAACAAAGTCGCCTTGATAAACGTGACATCTACCGGGAAAAACTCAATGTGAAATGAAGTTATCATTAAGTGTTATGCATGACCCGAGCGATGCAGCTCCATCCCTGCATGTTGACAGTGTTGTTATTTACATCCGTAGTATTGTAAAACCAACTTGCACTCTTTGACTTCGTCATCCCAATAGTTAAAACTAAAATATCTAACAGAAAACGATAGACGGTGACTAACATCCCGAGCGGGCTCCTACCTGCACAGCCCAGTATTGTTCCGGTCCGTGTGACCGTTGGTTTCGGCTGTTTTCTCCTTGGCGGTTTGTTATATTGAGCTGTTGTGGTTTGAGAAAAGAGGTCAATTGTAGCTATTTAACCGCAAGAATTTTGAGATTTAGTTTTTTTAGCTTTGACTAATAGAAAAGAAGGGTTTCTCAGCTGTGTGTTATATCGGCATGAACGTTAATTTCGTCAATTTGTCAACTTCACACTATCACGATGGTTGCGGGTCCATTTACAGGTTGGTCATTTTAATTTCTATACGATTAGCGTGTAATTGATGTTTGTAGAATCCGTAACGACTACTCTATAAATTGGTCAACATCAATGGCATTACCTATAGTGCGGGGTGATGCATATTCGTGTTATATATAGCTACAATATACTACAGTAATTAAATATTCCTGACATTAATGTTAAAATTACTGAATAAAAAACTTAAGCATCATGTCCTATAACCATTCAACTGTCTTTTTGGCTACTGTAATTCTTTGATGCCCCGTGCTGGCCAAAATTCGTTTGTAAAGAATTTCTCATTGTAAAGTGTCGTTTTGATGAATGGTCAAAAGTAGCTAAATTGTTAGTAAGGACAGGTTTCATCATCTTTGGAGGGGAATCTTTGTGAATGATCATTGAACTTCGGTTGATGTTTTCCGTGATAAATTATTCTCTCCAGAAGAAAAGTTGGTGGACATTGAAGAGCCTAAGAAGACCAAGTCGATTCTGTCAACACGTCCGAACGCCTCGCGGAAGAAAGCGGAGCCTGTGACGTCAATGGGGTCGCAGGTAGGAACCACTGGACAGCAGATGTTCAACGTCCTCAAAAAGAACAAAGGGTCAGTAACCATCACAGATATCCTTGAACTCTGCTATGGGCGAGGTGCAGGAGGAAAGGTCATCAGGGTACCTGGAGTCACTGAGTCGGACTACAGTTTTAAGGGATATGACACCGTCAACGATCTTCTGGAGAGCTTGAACGTCAACGTCAGAAAGGTAAGCTGGAATTTACTACGTCTTCTGTCAGTTTACGTTTTTAAATAGGTTTTGGGCTAGGGGCAATAACTCGTACATAGCATTATGAATCTCGAGTTACTTCCCCTATATCCCTAAAGATCAGTACACGCAGCCACTGAAACCACAGGGGTAACGGTAATAGGTTAGAGCATCTGGCCTTAGTCCTGGGCAGAATTCATGATCAGCTGGTGACCTAACATGTTAAACGGAATAATATAGGCCGAAGAGTAAAATACTTGGAAAATAAATCAATATTAATTAATACGCACACCAATCTGCATTATATACACATGAATCATACACCGGATAGAATAATATAAGTACACATACGCCACGAAAGAGTAATACAGTTACTGATATCGCAGAATTGGATTAGCGTAAGCTTAAGCTATCATATGTACTCCGAAACAAGTTCTGTACAATTATAGGTATATGGAAAATATTGTTAAACAATATAATAATGTTAAGTGGTGTATACTAAGACAAATTAATTATGTTTACCGGTAGTTGTGTTTACTTAAACGATACACCATTGTTTATCATATTGACACCTGTCACATATAAATTATCATTCATTCATTCACTGTCAATCTGCTATTATGTACGTTTCTTGCCTAGAATTTAGGTTCAATAGATCAAATTTGCTGATAATTTTTGAGCAGATATATTTTTTATAAACAGACACACTACGCACCTGGTTACAGGTACCACGGAATTAGATTCGATTGTCCGTGCAGGTACAGAGAATATTTCAGTGAAAAATTCCCAATTTATACTGAAATTCTCGTGTTAGCGTCATCAAGGATCACCATATTTCCTGGTCATAGCCGGTTATTTTTTCCCATATATACAAAATAAATAAATGATTAAACAAATAAGATCTGCCAAGACCGACTCATGATGAAAAAACGTATTTATTCTGTGCTACCTGTCTGCTACTCCCCCGCCTGATTGCAGCTTCCGCTGTGGTTCCGCGTGAATCATCCCACTTTTTTTAGCTATCATGATTAGCCTGACTGATGATAAGAGAAACTATCTCCGAGTCGGCCGCAGCAACGGCCGGTGTATCTCCTCGCTGTGGCATGCCACTCCGCCGTGAGCGCCAAAGGCTCACGAAACTTCCGCGAGGAGATGTCGAGTTTCACCTGTTCACCTGGTAGCGTATGAATATGCAAGCGAAGAGTTCATGGGTCAACTCGGCGTGCTGTCAGTAGCACAAAACATGGCGACGTTTATGTGTAGAGTGCAGTACCTGGATGATACTGACCCTTTTGCTAGTACAAATTTCCCTGAACCTACTCGTCCACCAAATTTTTTGTTTCACATCAACGTTCCACTGATAAGTCAGATTGGTGGCGTACACAAACTTTTAGGAGCCCCACACAAAGTAAGTGAAGTTAGCGCTTTGCCACCTGCTCGGAGGATTCGCATGTGTGTAAACAAAACCATGGGATTTACGTTACCGTTATATTTTCATCAACAAACAAGGATTTAACCTGGTTAACACCACTGAAAGGGAATATATTCAATATCATGGATATATTTTTTAAATTGTCTGAAAGTAGCGTTTAAACCCTGTTGATCATCATAGGCTAACATGCCGGTGTTTTACTGAACCTAAGGAATCAGCTGATAGTTCCGTCAGATAACATACCTGAGAGACATAGGAGGTTGCACTTGTACTGATCAGACTCTGCAATTAGATATCGAGATATCGTATACATTTTATTTATCCATAATGTACATTTTTGAGTTCACGTTAAAAAATAACCATTGAATGTTTTATTGCTATTTTGAGCGTACGTTTCTAAGCACGTGTGTTTTGACGGTTGATATTGATATTTTTTTTCTAAATAATCTTTGGATTTGTAGACACAATTGTATTTTTCTCCTTTGTTGAAATAGGTGATAGATTAAATTAAGGAAAGAAGGAAAGGTTTATCATAATTATCGTTGTAGGGATATGAATATTGTGGACTAAGTAATATTTCTTTTAGAGTAGGGATGAAAGATACAAAAAAGTTGTGTGAAAATTTCAAAGTTTTAAAATTAAAAATTGCTTCTTATTTCATGCTATCCTGATAATCATCTTCTGTTTAACCTTATAATCTTGAGGCAGCGCTTCAACTGATGATGGCATGTGGTACACATGTGATGTCTTAGGAATGTGTATTGTAGTGGTTTATTGTCTAGTGGAGATGATAAGTAACCGCTGCACTGGCTGTGGAATACACAAGAGTTAGATTGCAGTGTTTGTTATTGGGGCAGACAGACTTGCACCCCTCCCCAGTCTGTTACATGTGACACAAGAGTACTATAGAACCAGTTGTTTCTCTCGTTCCAATCCTATGAGCATGCATCATTATAAAACTGCGTAGTATCAACAGGTTGTCTTAAGTTACAAAAACAAAATAACAACACAGACTGTCAGTTCAGTCCAATGCTTTACATTATAAAATAGATACACGTTACTGTAATATACCAACACAGTAATATTGTTTCTATAAATAGATGTCCTCGCTGTGTATAGACAAATCGCAGAAAGGTACACTAGATTGGTCACTTATTATTGCTTCTTATAATTAGCATACGTAATTATTCTTGGAAGACATATATATACATAATTACGCAACATGTATGAATCATTTTACTGGTATACCTTTTTATCTTGTTTATTTTTAATGTTTGTGAGTAAATGCATTAATCAGTGAGGTACATGCAGGTATTAGTTTTGGCAGTTGTATAAAGAGCAACACTTTGGTTCAACTGCAAGATGTAACATATATCATAAACATTCCAATTTCAAGCTAACAGTACTTGTAGAGCTCTTTTAATACCACTGTCTTTTAATAAAATGGTTGTAGCAGGGAAGGGGTAGTTTTCATTAGTAGATGTTTTGTTTATTGATGTGTTAGATTGAGCAACAAAATATAAAAAATATCAGGTAATGAGAAGTAAGTTCATGACTAAATTAATATTCAGTGTTTTTGTACCCAATCAGTTATCACAACCTGAGTTCGTAGGACGTCTCAACACGGTTTGATTGACATTGATTTATACAGCTGTGAGACATAGAAAGAAGTGATGATTTTATGCAGAAACACCTTTGATTATAGCTTCACCAAATAACGTTTAAAGTATAGTACATATATAGTTGGTAGAAGTTTCTGTACGGTTAAAATCAACTTTCCAGTTATGTTAAATGATAAAGTGTATCTATGAACATCCTTGAATGATACATTTTGACCTGATGATGATGTTTTAATTTGGCTAGCTCGAGGACTGTGCTCTACAGATATACCGTTATCACAATGGTTCCCAGGGAGACTATGGGACGTACATGGACCTGGAATCCACCGTAGATGAACAGGCAGATGAACTTGAGGGCTTCCAAGACCAGTAAGTACCCAACATTCAACTGTCATCTGTTGTCATGGTTACCATCCATATATATCTCTGACTGTAGTGAGAATATGTGTAGCTTGTTATCCAATATAAGAAATACATTAAAAAAATACATTAAAAAAAAATCAAGTGTTTTGAGATGTAGCGATTTCAGCATCATGCTTCAAGATTTGAGCCTCCGGTTTAAAGATAAAGTCTATTAGGCTTCTTCAGATGTTCTGATATTGGCATGCAAGAAATAGTGGTTAGAAAGAGCCAGAAACGTTTCATATTAAATAGGTCTACTTCAGTATGTTTGTCGTGTGGGATCAGTGTCTGTTTGAAAGTTTTTTGTGCTGTATCTCCGTCAGAGAAAACAGATGACCTGACACCCTCAAATACATATGACATTGGAATTATAATTTGTTTAGGAATATAACGCAGTAGCCCAGCCACCCCTTCCCCCATTTCTCTCTCTGTGGATATCCCCTCGATACACCTACTAATGTAATGTACCTATAGCTATAGGATCGATCCCCTACCCCGAGATTGTCATCCTCCACTGTCAGGCGCTGTACATGTAGACTGGAGGTCTATACCCTTCCGTAATGAAGTACCTGGGAGATTTGCCAATGCTATATTGTAAACCAACATTTAGTGTTACCTGACATCGCTTGCCCACAGAAGATGTGACTGTGCCAATATTTAACTTGGTACAGAGGTGAGGACCTATATGTCTCCTTGTCTCCATCATCTATTCTCAGGGCTTTCTATTGTATGTAGGTGTATACAGTATACTTAGCCAAGTTTTTTTGTTTTTTTTTTAAAAAAATGGGCATGTAGCCTTAAGCAAACTACAAAAATGTTGCCAAAAATAAAAGTCTGGTGCAATTGCTTAAATGATTTTCTGATGAGATATACACTGTTGTGTTGCCTGTCATTTTGTTTTAGAATGCCTATATAGCTATTACTACCTACATTCAAGTCACATCATTGCATCTTGTGGGGCTTAAGAACCTTTTGAATATAGTCATAAACATTGTCTGTGTACATGTAGAATCGTTTGAGAAATGTTGTTAGTTGTGTTTGGGGAAAAGTTGCTTTAGGAGAGATATTTTAGAATCACTTTCGGTAACTCTGTTAAGCGGCCATTTCAACTTCTTGCTTTGATTTGTTTGGTGAAATCAATAATTATTGCAGTTAATATTTTTGTGTATGGGAAAAAGCTTTTAGAGATGGAAAAGAAAGAAGTAAGAACAGATACAAGTACATTTTTGTCAGGGTGGGTTGAAATAATATTGTAGTGTTTTAAAATAGTAAAACATGAATCTTACGAGAGTGATGTGTTTCGGGTCACATCTGTATGGAGATGTTTTCATCATTCTCAGTAGAAGCGTATAATGTACAATATCTAATGTACTTCAGGCAAATTAGGATATATACAGGCTGATCACTTACTTACAGTTTGGCTCCAACCTATTCATGATCCTAATTGATTTGGGGAAGAACTATCAAGTCAAGCTGATTGAAACAATGAATTGCCCTGGTTATCATAGAAGCAAACATCCAACTCAATAGATAGGTAAATAAACAATCTCTGTCAAAGCTTAATGTAATTTGCAGAGAGGAGTACCATGAACAGTATATAAACCTGGTAAATACAGAAATAAATCTTGTGTTTTATAACTATAAATACCCCCTGTAAGGTTTTCATTAGCCAGAAACTGGTAGCTTCTTTCAACATGGCTGTAAGTTACGGTACATCCTGCCGAGAGGATAGATAGGGATACCAGTGTTATTCTGATAAACACACTCTCGTTTAATTAAAAAAATGTTTTATAAGGTAAACTGCATGGTGTTAAGTCAAGAATTATGGAAAAGGAAAAAGAAAATCCATGTGCAGTGTTATGATAGAATCAGGTGGTTAATAGAAAAGTGAGAAAATCATGAGGGAACAGGGTGGGGTGCAGGCACTTGCTGTCTGGAAGGGTGCTGCATATGATCTGACGTGTGAAGACAGCAGTCATCAATCATGTGTATATGTACATTCAAGGAACATTAATGAGTTAGTTTTATATTAATTTCAGTACATCAATACAACTGCGATTTCAGTCTATTATAACACCACCTACAATGTTTTGTGACTTTCAATATGAATAATCATGATATGTATATGATTCACTGCATTTGTGTTACATATTATGAGTGGTGTACATGTAGGATGCACTTTTATCATGATCATACATCAGGGAGCAGGCCTGGGATAGGAGAGTGAGGGGCTCTGTACAGATGCCACCTCGTTATAGCAGAGACTAATTGAGGGGACTGGGTGGCTGTGAGATGTGTGAGGGGATGAAATAATTAATGTAGAGGGGAAATGATGGCTGCTATGTAGGGCTTGCTACTACTGTCAGCTCATTGCATTTGTCTATCCTTGAGGTGTCACTCTTACTTCCATAGACTACACGGGTCAAACAAACAAGCTAGTGTACTCTTTGTCTCCAGTACCAGGTAGTGCTGGTACAATGCTTGCATTTAATCTGATTTACAGGAAAGTCTTCTCATAAGGTTAATTAATCTTTCACTTATATTACAATTTATGATTTTATAATTTCAATAATGGCATAATCCCTGAACTTTATACATACCTGTTACATTTACCTGTAATTGGTAATGTTGTCTTTCCATGAGTTCAGATTGCAGTTCAAAAACTAGGTACATGTTTTCAAAACATATGCTGTAATAATACAGTTTTTATGTTGTCCTCAATTTAGTATGACGGATACAGACCAGCTATTTTTGTCCAGTATAATATTGACTTTAAAATAAAACATTTTGTCTGCAAATACATGTAGGTTACCATATAATATTCACAAGTAAGAATCTAATTTCGCTATAAAGTATTTGCACGTTTAATTTATACACTGAAATTGTCTTACAAAGTGGCAGGTCACACATTTACATGAGACGAGGCGCCAGAGTCCTAGTTTGTAGGAGTACATCATTTAGATTTTACTGCGTGTTGGTTAATTAAAGTTAGACACTGAATTGGATAGCTGTGTCATGGTGCTGCAATACAAGTTGTTCTATGTGTCCATAAACTCACAATCTTATTGTACGGTTTTTGTTTGCCTAGATGTTATCTGTTTACAACATTATTCAAATGATATTCAGAATACAACAACCAGACCTTTGTGTGCATAGCATATGTAATTAGGTTTAGGGACTTGATAGATTGATGACGGGAACATTTTGGAAATTATCCGTGAGTCATTTTTGTTTAAAGTTGTTAAAATTTTACCAGCAAGTATTATTTATTTTTGTATGGGAATGGATATATGTACAGAAAGCTTCTTCTTCTTCATTCCTTCACACGCATCAGATTATGTAACATGTTGCTTCTTAGTTGAAGTTAAATGACTTTAAACACACTTAAGTTGCCCGATATTCTGTTTTTTATGTGGGAGGCAATCATAAAATGTTGACACATACCTGTCCTACCAAGGATCTACCCATATTAAGTTACAGGTAAAATCAGCAAAACCTCTATTCTACAGACATCCTGCTTGACTAACAGTGTATTTTTGTTGGGTGCTAAGCTTTCCTATAGAATTGTAAATCTCCTCTAGGAAGATTTGGTCCATCAAAGGAAATTTTAATCTGAGAAGGTGGCATTCTTTAAATTTGGAGTATGTAAAGGTATCCTGTAGTCCTACATTTACAGCTTACAGAAACACTTAAAAAATGTTCAAGTTAGTAAATATTACATAATTCTGATGGAAACTAGTTGTATGGAAGCTGGCGTGGGCACATGTCAATTTTAGATGCTTTAATAGGCGGTAGAAATAAACACCATAGAACTGCCTGAACATGCTTCGACGAGAACCTTCTAGCATATGGAGGATATGTCATTTGTGGATGTTGCATTCATTCATTTCAGGGACCTTTACTGTTATAAGAACCTTATTGGTTAGCGAGATATACAAATTTACTGTTATCTGGGACTAATACACACATGTTTATTGGCATTGAAAACTAGGCAATTTTATCTTGTTTTGTTTCCAAAATTAGTGATTACTTCCCTATCAAAAATTAAGTTGATTCTAAATCTGTACTAGAGTTCAGCAAGGTTGGGTGTACATGTGTGTGGATTGCCAAAATGAGGGGGCAGAACAATTTGTGGTAGTAGCAAGGACAACACTACATACAAAAATTGGAACATTTTGTAATTGGTTATAAGTTTAAATTAAGTCTTTGCTTTTGAATTTAAAAAAAAAAGATATGAAGAAGTAACATATTACATTAAAATAGATACTTATCAGAAATGTTGCATGCGATGTTAACATAAATCAAATTATCTACAATAACTAGAGGAAAGGGAAATTTAAATCTGTTCGCCATACCTATTCTGCATTGTATAATGATCATTTTATCTAGAAATCACCTGGCATACAACTGGGTCCCTGAAATTACCCAGGCAATGACAGATGGTCAAGTTCTTTGATCAACCTGTAGATTTCTGTGATTAGGTTCCACATATTAACCTCAGGTCAAATTGTGTTTTATCAACCCATAAACAAGTGATCTAAAGATATATTATCACAAGAACTGTAGGATAGCCGAGGCGATATTCCTTTTATGTACAATAAAATACATGCATTTGATAAGAAAATAAAACAGCCTTATACATTGAATACTTAATTTAACATTTTACTATCAAATTTTATATTTTCTTATTCTTTGAACTATACAAGTCTTTCATTGTAAAACTTGTAAGCCGTGCTGAATTTTGAATTGTATTGATGACTCCCCGTGGATTGATCACAAACAACCAAAAACAGAAATCGTGATGCACTGAATAGATTTATGTATTCACATTATACATGTATACACTACTATAAATATGTATATTTTACACACTGAATATGCCATATGTTTGTACCAGGACCTGTGTCCTGATCTGTGATCCATTATAGATTCTCTACAGTAAGATATACTGAACACGAGGTAATTTTTGAGGCAGTATTGTTTCTGTGCCTTTTTGAGAAAAAATCATATGCATATTAAAAAATGCAGTGGAAATTTTAAGAAATATTTAATGCCTAAAGACCTAGACCACTGGTAAATAATATAGGATTATTGATACTTGGCCAATTACACACTGAAAATGAATGGACTTAAGGTCCACACGTACATGCATAAACTTAGTACATACACAACAGGTAAACCTGTTTTCTGCCAATTCTTCTATGCACAAATATTAATTTCCTGATAAAAACACAAAAATAAACATTGCAAGCTGTATACAGTATTCAACACAATAATCACTGTATGTGTCTTCTGAAAGGTTGTTGAAACTAAAATCTGTCCTTATACCTGTAACCTGTACACCAGTTATTTCTCAGCCTGTGTCATCACAGTTATAATAGACATACATGTATGTCTTTAATTAAGTTGTCTGTCAAAACCTCATTCAGTAATAATTGTACAGTCTGATGGAGTGTGCTTCAAGGATATTACAATGACATCCAGACATATTTATGTGTTTTAATTCATGCAACACTAAACAAGTAATTAAATATATTGCTTGGTTTTGATGTTTTATTTCAAGTTTACGACAAGGTTATTAATATTCATATTCGTGTTTGTCTGGGTCCTACACTGATACACAGACAACTTATATAAATTTTACATTTCATAGCATTGGGCGTAGGCTTTATGATTAGACATATTTCAATAAAAAAATGCGTAATACCCATACGCAATCTTCTCCGATTTCGTTTCTTTGTTGGTATTTTACCATAAATATACAAGGTAATTTAATGTATATATTTGTGTGGAGTCAAGCTGAAGAAACACACCTAGTTCCCGTAACCTGTCTTTATTTACATTTGTACTTGTAGGAGCATTAACATTTGTATACCTTTCACTCAATACTTAACACTCACAGATTAGATCACCAAATACCGGGGTTATTCAGGGTATGAGGTAATCCAGGATACGTTATTGATATCGGTAAAGCACATCAGATTTGGCTGGAATCTCAGAGAGGTGGGCGGGGTATAGTGTACGCTTTGCTAATATTACATATCTTGTACTTGAATTAAGAAATTTGAAAAGTAATATGCGGCTCTACCATACGTACAATAACCAGTGGTACCTTTCTGTGTGTAATAGGTTATTACTGATCCGGTTACACAAACATGAATAACATTGTACAAAAATTCAAAAGCTTCATATTTTCAATTGAATAGGTATGAGTTCCTTTTTCTATCACTTAAAAGAACAAAGTATGTTGTAATGTAAAGCATTTTGATTATTAAGTGGAAGAATCCATTTGAAATTAAACTTGTTCAGACCTTGAAGCACAGATGTGGTAATTGAACATACATTGTAAATGGTGAACATGATATTACTTGACATTTACGGCAATTATTTCAGTTTTATTATTCCCCTGAGATCGATGAGGTCATGGAGGGGATGAAATGGTTCTTTGATACTATGCATAAAACCTTTTTGTCATCACTTTTGATCTGGGGGTCTTCATTTCTTGTTGGATGTTGATAAAACTCATACAATGCAGGTCCAGTATGATAATTTCTGATATGAGTTTGAGTTTCACTGTACAATTTCATTTCTGGAGAGATTTTGATTTAATTCATACAGATTTTCAAAAATGAACACTGCAAACAAGTTAGTATTTCAGTGTGTAACAGGTAAGGTCAAGGTCACAATTACTATTTAAAGAAATCTTTGTCACCTGCATCTTTCTGAACTCTCCTCATTGTTAAGGACTTCAAAATACACAACAGATACAATGAATTTATAGAAAATGAAATGCACAGTGATACAAAACTATCAGTAGGTTATCTTAACAAGGTACATGATTTCCAACAGACGGTTGTGTGCATGATGGGATTTGCAATGCCATTTTCAGTGTTTAATTCAATATTCAATATTGTTAACTATTACTTATTGTACAATATTCAATGCTAGCTGCTCAGTGTACAATATCTTAATATTGAGTGATATTCAGTATTTGTGTTTTATCATTACAGGAGGAAGAATGCACTAATTTTGAGAACACAACTTACAGTCCGGGTACATGCTGTAATTGGTGAGTACACAGTTTTCCAACTAGGTCACTGTGACCTTAATTCCTACCTACATGATGATATTGTATACAATGAAACTGGCTATGTATTGAGTTGAATTGTTTTTGAAATGGCAGTAGAACTGTGGATATTAGTACCCGAAAAAATATATGGCAATTTCACATACTGATGTGTAACATACCAGCAGACTACCAAATTTTATATCAACAGAATAGTTTGTAAATATAAAACAGCAAAAGAGTGTGCCCACAGATGTCTCATGTTGTTCAGTATAACAATACAGTGGAACCTTGTTAATGTAACATTAGGCTGCACTACTGAACCTGTGGTAAGGAGGAACAAGACATTCTGAAAACTGTTTTAGCTCAAACACTCTCCCAAAACTGGAAAACAAACTAAAATATCAAAGAATGTACATATAATCTAATTTTCCAAATAATATTGATTAGTCAGCAATAGTTTTGGAAAAAGTGTGGACAGGTCTGTCTATTGTAAGAAACTTATTGATCTCCAAGATTCCCAAAGGCAAGGTTATATAATTAGTCTGCTGACCATCTGTGCTAGAAAGAAAACTTATCTTCAAATTGAACAGAAAGTTGCATTCGAGATTAAACCTTTACCATGAAAATTAAATATTCATACCAACAAGTAACAGCTTGTGTCCAATTTACATGATAGTTTTGTTTCTCCCCAGTAAAGCAGAACCATTAAACAGATAGAAGCTGTCACCGATCTGTGTATTATTATACCTGTGTGTAGAACGCTTGATTGTGTATTACAGTAAGAAGATAGGGGAGTATTTATGTATGGGTATTCACAGATGATCCGCTGGACTGGGGGGAGTCGCTGTAATAATGTGTTGCAGTACAAGTTTTATTGATTGGCTTGTCATCACCTACTTTAAACCTCATTGCTTTGTCAATAAATCGATCATGATTTATCACACACCTGTTGTGTGGTAGTAAAGATTTCTATAGTTTTGTGATAGCAGCATTGAAGTTTTAAATCTCTCTGTGGATAAAGGTGACTTATACCTGTGGTTGACCAGGAATATTTTGGGATCCTTATCAACACATTCACTTTCATCCAGAGGTTATTTGTGTGTGTTTTTCTTTTTTTTTTCTTTTTCTTTTTTCTTTTTGTGGATTTAAAGATATTGTATCTTTATAGGGTTAGAACTAAGCATTCATTGAAACTCGATAAAATTTGTAATTTTCAGGACCCCAAACATTAAATTCTTTGTAGATTAAACTATCTTGAGTCTTGGCTATATAGATCTGTATGTTATCTGGTCCACTTTATGACCCCTTTCCCACTTTCCCCCATAGCTATTATTCAATGCAATATTGACTTGAGGATTCCTCAATAATCTATAGAGATAGTGACTAACACCAATACTCATCTCAAGGAGAAAACTTGGGGTATGTAAACATGTATAGGAAGTATAAAGTCATTGTTAGGTTCATATAGTAGGGCCTGTGATGGCTCTGTAAACAAATACACTGTAGTCATGTCCATACACTTATAAACAGGGTTAGGTGGCTAGGAAACATAAAATTATGGAAATAGACTTGCAAATATTAAATCGTAAAAGGAGCTTTATTGCCCTGTAAATGGAGAAATAAGGTCTTGCAGAACTTAAATCATGAAGGGGACCTAATGGCCCTGTAAATGGAGAAAGAACGTCTCATAGAAGAGGCTAGAAGACCCTGCAAGCAGAGAAATTATGAAGGTTCTAGCCTAACAGAAAGGGGCTAAAGATCCATGAAAGGCTCCATCTAAAACAGGGTTGGGCAAGAACACCCTCCTGGCACTGTTAGACTCGATCATTAAGTATCTGGATGATCAGAGAAATATAACATGTATTGAACATTTTAACTTTTCATCAAAGGTTATTTTTCGGACAAATGTGCAGAATTTGATAAAGTATTAGAGACGGTATAAAATGTGATTAGATTTATACCTGTAATACAGGTGTAAGAAGATCGGTTCTTTATTCATTAAATAAGACGGTATGATGTCAGGTTTGTGATTGCCGTGTGGGTACCAATTACCTTCTCCATAATAGGGGTGTGACGCCTTAACTGTTTATGTTAGCTTTAATGTTGGCCGTTAGCAAGACGTCACACTGTCACATGTCACGATCTGAGCACACGGTGATGTAAGGAAACTGTTGAGATGTATGAAGCCATTCAAAAGTTCTTTGTGGGAGGGAGTTTTATAAATAGGTGCATGATCTCATCCTATCTGACGTTTTTACGATAATTAAATCAGGTAGGACAAGTACATTGTACCATACCTGTACAACACAGCGGGCTCGGGTGTCCGAGGAATGTGTCTATTTACTGGCAAACATCTTATATATAAATGTATCACGAATTTCATCTAATGTCTCTTTTTAAGTAGGCTTTGTGTAGATAGTTTATTTAAAGAATATCTGCGTGGTAGTAAATCATCGCTTCATTGTGCTTTGAAATTGTCGAAACATGAGATCACCATGTGTGTTTGACGTCAAATCATCCCTTTGATATTCTGGATACAAATTTATATATTTGTGAAGTTATTTATACCCAGTTATATGTTACCTTGTCCAGATAGACAATAACAGGGTATCTATAAGTCAGAGAATGTATTTGTTTTGGACCGTGTACAATTGCATTATCATTATAACTGAAAATAAAATCAGGTTATAAATCAAAATTGGAAAGTCTAATAAAAGTTTTATGTTGGCAGACCGACACTGATCGATTCTAACACACATTGACAGTGACAGGGAGCTAATTACAGATCAAATGTCAGGGACAAAAAATAACTTTGAGCTTTGTTTTTAAGAAAGCTTGATCTTACTAAATGTCTAATAGCCTGTCTGTACAGTTTTAACAAGTGTCCATTTCCTGTTATAATCAAAGACTAGCACGTCGAGGTTATTAGTAGGGATTGACAGTTATAGATCATATATGTCAGCTAGGTTTGTACAACATTTAACAGCAGCTACAAAGGGAAATAGTAAAAGAGTAAGTAACATGTGTGTTAATTAATGGTGTGTACTTTTGATATTTTGTTTACACCTATATTATGATGGAGGATGGACAATAACAGTCACATTTAACTTATGTATTTAATGGAAAGAAAGAAACAAATAGAAGTTTCGAGATAAAACTAACCAATACAGATTGGTTTTGTCATTTCAATAGCCGCAAGGTATTGTACAAAAGAACAAATATGACGTCATTGGGATTTAATAGGAATAGATTATAGGAACAGGAAGTGTTATGTTATATTATTAACTATAAAGAATATAAGCTTATATTGGGTATACATTGTACACTGTTTGAAAGGTACGTCATAAATATCTGTGGAAGATGGATATCTCTTAATGATTGCAGAGTAAAAGTTTATTAGTTTCAATAATTACACTGATTAATCATCTCTGTGAAAACACCTGAATGTTGGAAATGGTTATGCATTGTTATCTGGACTACAGTTGGTAGGGAGAAGGGAGGAGGGTCATTCACCTGGTGGGATGCCAGCCTGATGGGCCTCTGATCTGTGAATATACAGGTGATAAAACACCTTCAGAGTCTGAGTACACAGTTGTACAGGTAGATTTTATGTACCTGTGTAGACTTTGAGGTCTATATTGTATACCTGAGTGGATTTATTGGGTATTTGGGCTCCACATTGTATACCTATTGATCAGGGAATGTCGTTAGCGGTATATACCCAGACAGTTACCAGTATACCTTGTCACAGGGTATAAACCTCCTCGGTACACAATGTTGTCCCCACCAGTCCACGGTAATCAGCTGTGTACATTGTATGAGGAGAGAGCATGATGGATTTACCTGTACTTGTAGCCAGGAGATTGTTAACACACCTGGCCACAGGTAAACATGCTCCTTCCCACCTTTGACAAATTGTCACATTGAAGGAAATGACAGACCTTTCTGTCATTGAATTAAGGATGAAGATAGCCCTTACAAGTCTTGTCTTCTGAATTTGATCAGCAAACAATGTTGAGAATACTCTAAAATTGGATGCCTCGCACTATTTTGAAAAATAAATTTTGAAATTTAGGGCTTATACATTTGAAAAGGAAAATCACAGACTGTTTATGCCCTGTAACTTGCACTAAACTTGCACTCCCTACAGCATCAAATGTAATCAGCTGAATTCAATATTCTCCGTTATTGTTACTTGAAATTCAATTGAAAACAAAATTGGAAACTGCCATTCAGATTGAAGTGCCAATCCCAAACATGTAAACCATATTATAGCTATTTGATAAACATTCGGAAAAATGTAAAAACTGGCCATATCATTGTAAACTTCCATCCTTAGCACTAAAATCTGACAATGGCTATGTAAAAGATGAGAACAGATACACATTGTATTATATAGATTTCTATAGAATTTGTGCCTGTTCATGTAGAAATTCTATCAGAGGATTTGATTTGACCCCATTATAGTATAACATAGTTCCTACTGCTTGCCAAGTTTATAATCCCTTATTCAATCAGTATTTGTAGGTCAAACAATGTTATTGGATATCGCTGGGTTATACAGGGTTGATCAGGTCCAAGCGTTGGTCTCTGTTTGACTTGAGACTATTTAATGTAAATATCGGGGAAATGAGATGGCATCGTGTCTCATTGTCTCCTCTGTTTACTTAATACACTACCAAAAAGATTGAACTCCTAATTAAAATACAGTCATATGATTATTGGTCTGTCCAAATTATTTGAGGAAAGGTCTAATTCTTATTACGAATTCTCAAAAATTAAGCAGTAGATTGTTTCATACACAAGGAAGTTTAGACCCAGGATATATACATTATACAAATATATATATATATATGTTTTATGGTAGTTGTTAGGGGAATGGCAACAACTGGTTCACCCATTGTCAGTATATTGTAACCGGGCGGAATGCTGTGCTGGGGGCCTTCGGCATGGTATTTCAGTGAGAAAGCACTATAAAGTGGGCATCAGACCCGCTCTAA